AAGGAGAGAGAGATGGAAACATCAATGATGAGAGAGAATCATTGATCGTCTGCCTCCTGCATCCCCTCTACTGGGGATCAAGCCCACAACCTGGCATATGCTCTAGACCGGAATCAAAACCATTCAGTCCTCAGGCCAACACTCAATACACTGAGCCAAACCAGCTAGGGCTCACATAATGATGTTAGCAGTCATTGATGATGATTGCACAGACCCATTATGTCATTGGGATTGCAAAGTGGTGATATTCTATCACTTTTTCATGTATTAACTGGAATTCTTCTCTAAAGGACTTTCCCTTATTAAATATTTGATTACTAAACTGAGATAGAGTTCCTTAGGAAATTTCCAGAATAATAAATTGGTTCTCCAGCATCTTCCAAAAATGATCAATAAGTTGGGATTTTTCGCCAAAACCGGTTTGGCTCAGTGGATAGAGCGTCGGCCTGCAGACTGAAGGGTCCCAGGTTCGATTCCGGTCAGGGGCATGTACCTGGGTTGCGGGCACATCCCCAGTGGGAGATGTGCAGGAGGCGGCTGATCAATGTTTCTCTCCCATCGATGTTTCTAACTCTCTATCTCTCTCTCCCTTCCTCTCTGTAAAAAATCAATAAAATATATTTAAAAAAAAAAGTTGGGATTTTTCTTGAAATATCTTATGAACTTGTGATTTTAACATTTTGGTTGTTCTTCAGTTTGTTTACATTATTGTTCTTTTTGATGCCCAAATTCTTCCATCTTTGATGAGCGGGAGCTTCTTGAAGTTGGCTCCTGTGAATTGAACTTTGTAACAAAAGCAAAGGGGCTATTCATCTTCACGTACATGTTCCTGAAAGTAAGAGGGAAAATACTGGGACCTTAAGGTTACAAAGACAAATCCCAGTGAGTGAGTTTGAAGGTGCTATGAGAGAGGAAATAAAATTACTTATGACTGTACTCCATGGAGACTTGGCAAATGAAAGGTTCCTATCACAATCCTGTATAATAAAAGCCTAATGTGCTAAGTGTCCGGTCATCTGGTCAACCATTCAACCAATCAAAGTGTAACATGCTAATGATATGCTAAGGTTGCTCAACCACTCGCTGTGATGTGCACTGACCACCAGGGGATAGACAGTCGACCGGTCAACCAGTAGCTATGACGTGCACTGACCACCAGGGAGCAGATGCTCTGACCGGTAGGTTAGCTTGCTACTGGGGTCCAGCTGATTGGGATTGAGACGGGCTGCACACTCCCTAGAGTACTCCCGCAGTCCCTCCCCGGCTTGCCAACTTCATGTGTCCCTCCCCAGCCCTGATGGTGCACCAGTGGGGCCCCTCAGCCTGCCTGTGCCCTCCCGCAATCTGGGCTGAGGGAGCCCCCCAAGTGCACAAATTTCGTGCACCGGGCCTCTAGCCTGTAGTACCCATATAAGATACTTTGTGAAGCCTGTACATCTTTTAACTTGAATAAACCAGGTATAAATCTCTCCTTCTCAAAGGAGTTTACAGTCTAGTTTGGAATATAGCAGTGTATTAGTTAGAATTGGGTTTGTGTTTATGACAGTATGTTAAAATAACAAGGGTCTAAAATTTTATTTCTTTTTGTTAAAAAAAAAAAAAGTGCTCCCAGGCTGGCATGGAGGACCCAAGGTCACCAGGTCCCAGGCTCCCTCTATTTTATGTGTCATTGTCCTCAACATAGAATTTCTACCTCATAATAAAATGCAGCTGCTCTAGCTCCAACCACATCCACATTCTAGTCAGCAAGAAGAAGGAAAAAGAGAATGAATATGGTCTGATGATTGCCCTTAAGGACATTCCTTAAAAGTCATGCTCATCACGTAGGCTATGTTCCATTAGCTAGAAACCAGTTACATGACTGAAAAATGTAATCTTTTTTTTTTAATAATCCTCACCCGAGGATATTTTCCATTGACTTTTAGAGAGAGAATATTGATGTGAGAGAAACACTTCAATTGGTTGCCTCCTGCATGTGCCCTGACTTGGGCCCAGGCCAGGGAGGAGCCTACAACCTAGGTACATGCCCTTGATCAGAATCAAACCGGGGACCCTTAGGTTTGCTGACTGACTCTCTATCCACTAAACCAAACAGACTAGGTCTGAAAATGTAATCTTTATTCTGGCTAGCCAGAGGTCCAGGTAACCTTTAGAGAATCAGTTACCTGGGAAGAAAGGGACAGTAGATACTTGTAGAAAATATAAATCACTGTTTCAAACACATTTCAAAGGCTCTCTCTCTCTACATATATATATATATATTTCATTTCTTCTTCTGAGAATATGTCTTAAAACCTCAGAATGGGGGAGGAGGGGTCCTTTAAAGTGTCCCCTTTCCCCACCATTCTGAGTGCCTTGATTATGCAGGGCAGCCAATATATGAAACAACATTAAGCTGTAATCTTATCATTTACATTTCAAAATTAATTTAGATAATTGCATTTCTATACAGCAATAATGATAATCTTGTTTCATTATTTATCTCTGTACAGTATATGCCATCTCTGTCTACACTGCGATTTCTTGTCTATTCATGCTAGACAAGGGCTCACGTATTATACTTCAAATATGTACTAATTGTAAGGCAAGGTACATAGCATCCACCATTCACAGACTCAGTTCTCAAAAGGCCCCTCACAAGGAAACTAAAGAGCAGACAAGGTAAGGGGCTCACTGAGATATAATCAGCTCAGTAAGTGACAGAACTGGGATTCCAAAACACTTTTGTCTACCTTCAGAGCCAATGCAGGCCTTGTTCATTATGCCATATTGAGAGATTTACTTATTTTCTGTTTTTCCACTAATTTTTTGAACAGAAAAGCAATTATCTACCTGCAGTGTAGAGAGATTTCTATGGGTTTTTATTTAAATTATATAAAATAAAAAATTTCAATATGTTTTTCTTAAGTGTTTTATGCTTCATGTCTCTTTTAATTGTCTGACCCAGTTTGGTGATTATTCACTCAACACATCCTTTTTTATGTGCTAAGCACTGTGATGGTTGCTGAGTATATAATGATGAGCAAAACTACACATAATCCTGACCATCATGGACCTTTTAGACTAGTGGGGAACACAGGCATTAACCCAAAAATCACCCTCCAAAACGTACAATTGCAACAGTCACAAAGAGGTAAAAGAGAAATGTATAAGGTGTCATCTGGGTATAATTGGTGGATTTGAGTTAGGAAATCCTTCTCTGAGGAGGTGACATGCGGGCTGAGGCTTGCAGTATAATTTAGAGTTAACCAGGCAAAGTAGGGAGAGAAGATGTTTTCAGGTAAGATGAACAGATGTTCAAAGCAGCACAAGGAGCATGCATGAGGGCTGGCGTGAGAATGTGTGAGCGAGGTGTGAGATGAGACTGGCAAGGAAGCCAGAGGGGAGCCCTGCGGTACCTTATGTAGGGGCACTGTTATTCTTTTTTACAGATTAGAAAAAATGAGACTCAGAGCTCTTGAATAATTTGTCTCATCTCACAGCTAGTTAAGTGGTGGAGCCAGATTTCAAGCTGTGGTAGGTAGAATAATGGCTCCCCTACAGATACTCATGTCCCGGGAACCTGCGAATATGTAAGGTTACATGACAATGGGGAATTAAGATATGAAATTAAATTAAGATTACTAATATCTGACCTTAAAATATGGGGGTTATTTTATTTTATTTTTTATTGATTTCAGAAAGGAAGGGAGAGGGAGAGACAGGAACATCAATGATGAGAGAGAATCATTGATCGCCTGCCTCCTGCACAACCCCTATTAGAGATCGAGCCCACAACCCAGGCATGTGCCCTGTCCTGGAATCTATCTGGTGACCTCCTGGTTCATGGGTTGATGCTCAACCACTGAGCCACACCGGTCAGGCAGGAGGGTTCTTTTAGATGATTCAGGCAGTACCAAGGCAATCTCAAGGGTACTTAAGTATGAAAGAGGGAGGCAGAAGAAGGGCTTATAGTTGTGAAACAGGAGTTTTTAGGGGTGAAAAAGACAAGTTTTAGGGAATTTTAGAAATTAAGGGGACCATGGAAGAAACACAGGGCTGCAGAGCAGCAGAAGGTATATTTCCATAGAATAGGAGAGCTGAAAAGCTGCAATAAGTACATTTCCATAGAATGAGGGAGCTGGGAACAGCAGAAAGTCTATATTTACAAAATAAAGAGAAGGAAGCCCCTCATCCAGAAGGAGAAGAAGAAAGCCCAAAGGGAACAGGAAAACAATAAGGAAGGAGGGGGGTAACTCCTTTGAGCCCAGGAGTTACTCTAGTAACCAGTGAGTGACTAGTGACCAATCAGAGGGGATACCAAGGCACAAGGATCTGCAGCCTTTATAAGCCATAGGGAAAAGGAACTCAGTGGGATCCTTTCCCCCTACCCAGTGGGACTCTGTTCTGTGAGACTCTTCCCCCTCCCTACATGGGAGTCTGTACTTATTCTTTAACAAATTTCCACCTTTGCTATACCATCTTCTGTCCATGGATTCATTCTTCGACTCCAGCAGACAAAGAATCTGGGTTCCAGTCCAAAAATTCTGCATCACTAGAAGCTGGAAAGGGCGAAGAAACAGATTCTACCCTAGAGATCCTTCCTGGCTGACATCTTGATTTTAGCCCAGTGAGACCCATTTTGGACTTCTGAAGAACAGAATGCTAAAACAACAAATATGTGAACCGCCGAGTTTGTGAAAATTTGTTACAGCAGCAATAGTAAACTAATACACAAACTATGTCTACTGACTATGTTCCTACTCTTTGTGCTACATGTCTTAACTGTTGGATAGGCTAAACCAAGAACTCTAAAGATTAAACTCTAATCTTTCATGTCATTGAGTCTAAAGTTTTTCAGATATCATTTTCAAACCATACAGCAAAGAGTGTGAGTATTTTATTTACATATGCCTCTTAGTTTTGTGAATTTCGAAAGGATGTGGTTATGGCCTTTGACATCAGAGGGGAAGCCAGCGATGTTGACTGAACACTGATAGAAAGATAACGCTGGAGGCAAGTTGCCTCTGAACAGCTCTCTCAAGATCAACTGCCTCCCCGTTGCATTCCTTGCCCTGAAGCTGTTTCCTCTGGTTGTGCTGAGGGCCGATGCCCAAGGTGCATCACTTTTCAAGAACTGGATCATGAACAACTCAAACAACTCTATCCTCCTAGAAGAACAGCTCATCAAGAAATCCCAGCAAAAGAGAAGAACTTCTCCCTCGAACTTTAAAGTCCGCTTCTTTGTTTTAACCAAAACCAGCTTGGCGTATTTTGAGGACCGTCATGGGGTATGTGAGAACTTTGTGTTTTGGGGTTTTTTTTGTCTTTTTTAAAACAGTATTTTCTACTTAGACTGGGCTGAATGAAGATATACATGGAATAAAATAAGGACACAGGGGACATGCTCGTTATAACAGCCTAAAAAGTACAATAAGAGTAATCAGAAGAAAATGTGGAAAAAAGTCAAGAGATGGGGTGGTTGTATTAGGTGATTTTAGTCCTAAAATCTATACAAGAGTAAGTTTAACATGCATTAGCTTTTTCCCCCCTTCAAGTTTGAGTTGTGTCTAAATTCTAATATTTCATGCGGCAAATGTTATGATTGGGTAGAATTTAAACTTCATTTGAAATAATTATATTTTATGGAACATAGATTAATAAAATATTAGCAATCAGTGGGACCTAAGTGATGATCTTGCTCAGTTTCCTTAATGTATACTGGATGAAATTAGTGCCTGGAATGGCTAAGTGATGGGTTCAGCATCAACATTTTTATGAATTCAAGTCAATTTTGTTTCAATGGTCATTACTCATCTGATATGTTGGAAATATATTCTCTGGGTATTTAATTATCTCAAATTTGCAAGGCACAATGGTAAACCTTTTTATCCCTTATAAACTTTTAGGAGACTAGGATTACCATGCAGTGTTAAGTGTTAAGCAGTACAGACCGGCGATTCTTATCCAGAAGATTACAGCTGCTTAGCTAAGTTAGTCCTTTCATATCTAAAGACATTCTTATATTCCATAACAACAATAATAATAAGAGCAACATAAATTAATAAAACGATGTAGTTTGCCATCTTTAGCAAATTGCAGCATGTTATAAGCTTGGCGCTAGATTTATGACATCCTGTGAAAAATAGTCCTTCTACCTTTTCAGGGACAAATTCTATAATTCTGCAAATTAAATATGTTTTTATAACTTTAAATATGCATTGTCATTATAATGCTGGTTGAGCCTTTTATTTTAACATGGATTTAGCTCATGGATTCATGTCTGTTTCCTGTATTGAGATGTGCAAATGTTTTCAACAGAACTCTGTCTCCCTGCTGGAGCAGTGGGCCAGAAAGAATAGAGTTGGCTCACGGGTAGACATGATTTCAGATGCTCCCCTGTGCTTGCTGAATTTCTTTGCTAAGTGGTCACTGATGCCTGACCTTTACTGAGCATTTACCACATATCGGACGCTGTGCTTAACAGAAGACAATGAAAGATTAGGGGGCCTGGTAGTATGTTGGTAAATGTTTAACAGCCATTGCAGTGGTAGTGACAGTAGAGTATTGGGGAGCTCTACTTCAGAGTGTTTGCTGCTTCCTCTGGTGTAAATACTCCCATTGTGGCCAATTTCAAACTACTGATGTAATGTCTACTGGCTCACAAAATTCCTGAAAATTTAACAGTCAGGCCCTAGCTGGTTTGGCTCAGTGATTAGAGCATTAGCCTGTGGACTGAAGGGTTAAGGGTTCAATTCCAGGCAAGGGCATGTAGCTCGGTTGCAGGCTCAATTCCTGGCCTCTTTTGGGGCACGTGTGGGAGGCAACCAATCGATGTGTTTCTCTTTCTGGCTCTTCCCCTCCCTTCTACTCTCTCTAAAAATCAATGGAAAAATATCTGCTGAGGATTAACACCAACAAATTTAACAGTCAGCTTTCATGAGCCAGTATAAGCCATTTCTAGCACACTGGCAGCTACATACAAATAATCTCTGGAGAGGTTGACATCCACTAAGCAAAATGCTTAGTTGCACGTGACTGACATCAGATCCTGTTCAGGAGTGAAAGAGAGGGCCTCGGGGACTGTGTATAAGCATGGGCTGGAAGGGGCAGCATAGACGGAATAAGCCTCACAGCTTGGGGAGGCCAGGGTAGCCAACTAGAGTTGAATTCATATCCTTCCTCTATCACTTACTTGATGTGGATGAAATATTTAACCTCTTTAAGCCTCTGTTTCCTATTTGTAAAGTAAGAGCCCCAATACTACCTACCTCAAGGGATATAGAATATTTCATGAGAAAGGTATGTTATAAGCTTAGCATGATAATAGTACCATCTTCTGAAGGGCCCTCAGGGGAACTGGAAAGGTTTCCCTATTTTCATGACTCTGCACCTTAGGAATCAAGCTTACTGTGCTCACTATGGCATGGAAGCCATTACCATTTATGTGGGATGGGATGAATCCTCAAGTTCATCATTTTAGTCACTTTCTGGAAAGGGTCATCACTCCTCATGGATGCTTCCCTTTAGCCTACAGCTGATCTAGCAACAGAGCCAGCTCTTGTAACATGCGTCCATCCTAAATGAAAAATGGCAGGTGGGGGAGGTGGTCCCCTTTTCTTGCTTTTATGGCTTCGACCACTGCATAGTGGTCAAAACCACTTCTGGTGCTAGACAGATCTGTGTCAAAGACCAGCTCCCCACTTAAGAGCTGTGTGTCTTTATGTAAATTGTTTAATGCTGTATGACCCTCTAGAAAGCTATTTATGTCTTTTAAAATGATTAAACAGTTCTTCTTGATCTTGTTTTCTTTTAATGAAATGGAGGTCACAATTATTTTAATAATAGTAGTAACTAATATTTACTGAGCACTTATCATGTGTCACTCACTGTGCTAAATGTGCGTTGTTTCACCTAATCCTTACAATCACCCTGTAAATTAGGACCTATTATTACCCCAGTTTACAGATCAGGAAACTGAGGCAAAGAGAGTTTAAGTAACCTGCCTGAGGTTTCCCATGTCTCCGGAGCCCACACAGACTCCTTGATTAATGGAGCTTATACTATTAGCAGTTGTTATCGTAGGTAGTTTGGGACTCCACTGGGTTATTACAAAGTGCAATGCCTTCTTGTTCTGAAGTCCTCCAAGTAAGGGCAGTCCTAGAAATCAGAAACCCATGCCAAATGGTTCTTTTGCAACGAAGTGTATTATGAGCGCTATCATTTCCACATAGACTGCAGAACAAATCCTTGTCTTCCCTTACTTCAAGGAGCCCTACTATGTGCCCATAAAGAAATGAGATCCTTGGTAAACGTTGCCTCCTAAGTGCCTCTAGAATCTGTTCACTTCTCTCCATTTCCTAAGGTCACCTTCCTTGTGAAAGCTGCCAGCATCTCTTACCTGGGACTGCTGTCACCTCCTAGCTGTGTCTTTGCACCCACTCTACCTCCCCTAACACACTCCATCCTCCACACAGGAGCCAGTGTGAGCATTTAACATGGTGACAGTGATCATGTCCTGATGCCTCTCATCAGAAACTGACTTGTGCCTTCAGCGGTTCTCCCCTTTGCCCTGAATGTGGACACCAGAATCCACAACATGGGTTCTCTTGTCTCAGCTCATGGCCCTCTTTCTCCCATCTTTCAAGATTTTCTTTAGCTTTAAGGCCTCCGCTCTAAGTGGCACTTATTGGGACACCCTCCTTGATTTCCCTAGACTAAGTCATCTCCTTTTGTTAGGCTCTGCCACAGCAACACATATGCATTATTCAGAGCACATGCCAAAGTTGTAGTTGCCCACTTATTAATCTGGCTATTGTACCAATGTCATCCCTCACCCCATCTTCTGTTAGATAATAAGAGTCATGAGAGCTGGCACCCAATTGGCTAAAGATGGCACCACCAATGTCTAGGACAGTGCCTGACACATATTATCTTATCCATTAATTATCTGTGGAAGGAAGACAAGGAAGGAGAGAAGGAGGAAAGGTGTGAGGTATAGATACATTTGAAGAGGTTAGAGTTACACAGATGAACCCTAACAGAACCAGGCTCAAGGACAAAAGAGTAGAAAACAAAGCAAGTGATATAGGACTTTAAACAGGAAATTCCTGCGTGTCCGAGTAAGTAAACAAGACTCCCTGCAGATAGAGTTTATGGCTTAGCCTTGAACTGAGGAAGAGGAGGGTCGGGAGGTTGGACTTTTAAGGGTTGGGTCAGAGAGACACATGTAAGAACCAAGAGGTGGGCCAGCCTCCCCCACCACAACTCTTTTTAAAAGAACCAAGCAACTCTGCTTTCTTTTTTCCTCCATCTTGTCTTCCCCCTTCCTCCCTTGCTTCCTTCCAGGCAAAGCTTTGTGGGTAATATTCTTAAAGCTGCCTGAGCATGTTTGCTTGAGACCTTCATCAGTCAAGCTCTCTCCCCACCTCATTCTTCCATGATTGAGTTGCCTTCTAGCTGGGCTCTCGCTGATACTTGATGCCCCATACAATCTATTATCCACGAAAAACCTGGAATAAACGTTTCCAACAATGAAGCAGATATTCTTTGTTCTGTGGCTGTTTTCAACTCTTCATCTTGTGGTCCCTAACTGTCCCTCCGATTTCATTTCACACCACACTTCCCTGTACCCATCATGCTCCTACCCCAACTGCCTTCTTTCTGAACCTTGAACGCCCCAAGGTAATGCTCCCCCTGGGGCCTTTAGACAGGGTCAGAACTGGGGTGAGCAATGGAGAAGCACACTTAAGCACACCCCCACACACACTCCCGCTCACCCTCAGGGTCCCACAAGTGCAGGGTCTTTGCATTCGCTGTTCTCACTGTCAGGAACACCACAGCTTTTTTTTTTTTTTTTGCAAGGTTCTTCATTATTTCCCATCTCTTTAAATATTTCCCCAGGAGTCTCTTTCTTTTTTTCTTCTGAAGCAATAGATACTTCAATGCATCAGTATCTGCACTTATGTATTGGGTCCATTGATGTGCTTCCTTGTTTATTTTCTGTCTGTACATCCATCAGAGAAGGTGTTCCATGAGACCAGAAATCTTCATTGCCTTGCTCATCACTGTAGCATCAACACAAGCTGCTGGTATCAGTAAATACTCAGTGAGTGAATGAAGGTCAAATAACTCCAATTGAATTCTGAAGAACAATCGGGAGCTAAAACTGTGGGCCTTGTCTAATCAGACAAAAGAATAAAATAAATAAAAAATAAAAAAAGAATCCAAAGCAGAGTGCTTTGCAGTTCAAGCCCCTCAAGCCCAAATATATGCAGTTTCTATGTCTGCC